TCTCCTGTGATTTAATGCAAGTCGAGCATTTTGTCGACATTTGTGTGTAGGTCTCACTACTTCCGGCGCCAATACTAATTTAGGTATATCTATTTTCACCTATCTTTTTTTTCTAAAGGAGGCCTTTTCACGTTGTGTCTCCGTGCTGTCAAGACAGACTAGTCAGCCTGATGACATTCCGACGAGGGTTTGTGGACACATCACTGCCTTCTTTTGTGTTGCCACTCGTTTCCCTGCCTGCCGAGAGCGTATGCAGGAGATTCCTCAAATTGTACGGGACGTCCTCCGCTTGCTCTACTACAAGGTGCGCCGCTGGATTGATTTGAATGGAAACACTTTACACTTTTATTTCCTAGCTTGTGGACACGTTTGTTCCTATGATTGTTCATCCCTTTACCTGTATTCTCGTCAGTATTTGATTTGACCTAGCAGGCTGATTACAGTATAGTTGGTGATTTAGGATTTATTTTTGCTTCATGATACATAGAATAATTTTTGATTTCTCACTATAAATTGATGGTTTTACTAAAATTTCTTTATTTTTATCTGAAATAGGAGATTTATCTATGGCCTATAAATTATCATTTTCGCCTTAGTGCAGGCTTACTTAAGATTTAACCCTCATTTATATGGTTAAGAGTTAAGTATGCATTATAATATTTTTTGGAATATTTTTAGATGTATATGTATATATGAAATGTATTTATCCTATTTTGTTTAGGATGATGAAGGACATGTAGTTGAATTTTCTCACAACGCTATAAGTAGGCCTCACGTTTACATTGAATTTCGCAGCTATGCTTCCTAAAAAATATCCTTGCCCAGGATGGACTACAACTTTGATCTAGAGCCCGGTTAGTTCACCGTATATGCTTGACAGGCTAACCATTATGTTACACTATCATGGGTGTCTTCGAGTCACAGTTCGTATGTGAATTTCAAGGAAGGCCAAGCCTTTATCCATGTCATTCTATGTTGGGGTTGTTGATGGTGCAAAGTTGTATTTGCTATATCAATTGACTACTTTACTAACGTTTCGTTTATAACCAGGTTTTCAAGACTACCAGAAACTCATCTGTATGAGATGTATTAAACTATCAGTCCTTCACATTTTAAACGAAACTTTGTGAATACATCTCATATATGCTCTACTGGTAGTATCGAAACCTAATCATAAAAATAGTAATGTAGTCGATTGTAATAGCAAATAGAACTTTGCTTCATTAAATATCCCACCACAGAAAATGATATCGATGGAAATGGCCTAACCTTCCTTTAAATTTATGTCTGCCATGTTACTCGAGGACGCTCATGGCGGTATGTCGAGACGATATGCTGCACTACCCGATATCGAGTCCAGCTAGGTATGCTTATGAGGCTTAGTCTAGGTCGAAACTGCAGTCCATCCCTGCCGGGATGGGAATACTTTTTAGGAGGCAAGTCTATGTAAAATAAAATGGTAATTTGAAGCCAAATCATATAGTTGGGGAAAATTAAGCCACCAGTATTTCATAATCTTAAATGAAATATGGTGAACACATCTCATATATTTATTATTTTATCTTGATCATAGCCTTAGTTACTATCCCTGTCACTAAAACGAGTTTTTTATTTAACATTTCTTTGGGTTGATTGAGTCTTTTAGGACTCACGTTTTTTTATTCGACCTTAAGTTATTACCTTTTATCGTACCCTTCCATATGCTTTTTGAAAAAAACCTGTCTTTCATACAATTTTCTTTGGTCTTTCTATCTTCTATCTATATTGTCTGAATCTTTAGAGTCAGATTTTATCTTAGGTTCCAAAAATAGCGGTATACATTGAAGTATATTTTAATATTTATTGGGTCATAGCAGTTAAATTTCTATTGAATCTCTATCTCATCTCCTACCTTGATTTGTGCTCAAAATTCTCTCTGCTGTAGTGGCAATGCTCCTGTTAAATGCTTTCAGCACGCTATTTTAAAAAATGCATTCTTTTGTTCGCTTGATGTTAAAAGATTTTTTATTTGATATAAATACAACGAATGCTATGATTGCTTGGCTTTTCCGTTAAATCTATTTTACTTTTTCATGTTCTCCACTCACAGAATTTGACACAGATGTGTTGTCTAGCTGCAGCTTGCATCGGTGCCTTTTGCTCCGACTACTGGCTACGGCAAGCTGTATACACGAATGGTGGTCTCTATCTGCTTATTTCGCATCTCTTTGCTTACGACTTCACTCTTGAGGATGGTGGAATAAACCTCTCTGAGAATACAAATATACAGGTGTGCTCTCTCTTCTCCTTAGCTATAATTGAGATCATTTGTTTGCCTCTACAATCTAGTCCAATTGGAATTTAATTATTTTATAAATGACTAAAACACTGATACTCATGAAGAATAAGTATAGTTAATAAATCTGTATAAAATATACTACTGCTTATCATTTAAGTTCAGCATTGTTGCCCAACTTTTATCTGCTCTACGTCTAATTCCTTCAATTTGGGAAGAGCCCTATCGAACATTCTTCATGAACACCTCTTACAAGTATTATTGCATTACGCGGATAAGTCTAAGGCTGATGTAAAAACAATAAGAATTTTCAGATTAACTTTTGAAAGGATATTTTAGAGAGCCCAAGTGCATATTCCACAATATTTTGCTATTAGTGTATAAGTTTTGAAATATGTTTTCAAAATTTTATTTTCAAAACAATAATAAAATTAATAAGATCCACTTTCTCATTTTAGTCGTTTTTTACTA